GCCATCCCTAGGGTAGGCCATTGCCTATCCTCTCTGAAACAAATTTTTGGTTCATAACTTCCCTATATTTTTTTAGGAGTATTAACTCGACATCTTAAACTTTTCATTCAATGTCTCTCTTTCACATTATCCTTTTAATTCTGTGGCCACCACCTTTTTAGGCAGAGTACTAGCAGCAAAGAGAGCTGTTAGGGAAAGGGAAGGCACATGACCACCACAGACAGAAACCTTCCATCCTCCAGTTTACCCTGCTCATTACTACCAAATTAATTTCAGTGTAACATTTATTATATTAGTGTTTAGCGAAGTTAAACACTTTTAACCCCTAAATCAAAAGACCTTGTCAATCAGCACCTTCCAAATTCTCCTATCTAAATACTCTGCAAGAGTTAAGATTTGTGAAATAACTTTCACTTTGATCAGACCTAGCTGGCCACTGATCAACTTTCATGCAAATATTTTCTGAATGCTCACTAAATTCCAAACACTGTTCCAAGTGCTGGTGATATATAAGCGAACAAAGTTAGACCCAAAGCCCCTGCTCCAAAGTTAGACTCCTGACTTGAAGAACCTTCTAGTGTTGAGAGCAGCTAGAGGAAGGGGCTAGGCCCTCAGACACTGCAGATAAGGGACAAGACTCTTCCTCAGATGAACCATGGGAAGCCCACTATGGGTTGAGGGGCTGGGAGGTGGGGGGTGATATACAGATGAAAAGATCTGCTAGCACTGACATTATCTGCTACAGACATTAATCTATTTTTGCACCCTGTTTCCCATTCCTATCCTACTTGTACCCTCAGTTCAGCCAAAATGTGCTAGCAATCTGTTCATGTGCCTCTGTTCCTGCTTGCTTCCTCTGCAAGCCTTGCCTCCCACCACCATCTCTAACAGAAAAATCCTAACAACCTTTACAGTCCATCTCAAATGCTGCCTCCCGGATGAGGTCTTTTCTAATGCCCTTTGGACAAATCCAGAGGTGACACTTCGGAAACCTTTATACTCTTAAGACCTTGGGCTTAGTCCTCCCTGAACACTTATGGCCCCATATATTGTATCATAATTATCTGTGTACTTTAACCTCCATCATCAGTTATTTGCTGAGCACTTGCTACATCCCATTATCTAGGAGCTAAAGTTGCTGTGCAAAGAGGAATCTATCCTCTTTCTCTATATATTTTTCTATTTTGGACATTTAGAACAAATGGAATCATATAAAATATCATCTCCTGTGCCTGGCATTTTTCAGTTAGCACCACATTTTTGAGATTGATTCAGATTGTAGTATTATCAGTACTTCACACTTTTTTATTGTTGAATGATTCTTGATTGCATGAATACATCACATTTTACTTATTCATTCATCAATTAATGGACATTTTGGGTTGATTCCACTTTTTTGTTTATGAATAATATTGCCATAAACATCTGTGTCACACAGCTTTGTGTGTATTGGGTTCATTTCTCTTGGGTATACACCTAGAAGTACAACTGCTGGTCCTATAGTAACTGTATTTTAGCACTTTTTGAGAATTCCCAAACTGTTTTCCAAAGTGACTGCAAAATTTTATATTTCCACCAACAGCATATGAAGGTTACAACTTCGTCACTATTATCTGATTCTTACAGAACCAAGAATGATCTCACTGTTGAATATTCTTATCCATAAGGAACTTTGGATTCTAGTGGGCTAAGACAGAAATAAACAGGTTAATTTCAAATAATGGGGGAAAGAGGCCATTAAACAAGATAAAGTAACCAGGGAATGCCTAACCAGGATGGTCAGAAGGGATCTCTCTGAGAAGATAATGTGATGTGGGATGTGAAGTGCTGGAAGGACACTATCCTACGAGTGGAAACAGCAAGTAATAAAACTGAGAAAAAAAACACATCTGGCATATTCAAGGAATAAACGGGAAGCCAATGGAGCTGAAACAGAATGAAGAGGCAGAAAGGTGGAGATGAAAGTGGGAGGTAAGCAAAGGTCAGACAATGTTTGGTCTCTGAATCCATAGCAAATTCTTTGAATTTTGCTAAACTGCAATCATCTTCCTGAAATCCTTCACATTTCTTTACATGCAGGGGTTCATCTATGCAAACATTTATTAAACTTTAGTTTTTCCTCCAGTTGCACCTATGGCAGCAAGTATTTAAGAGACTAATGAGTATAGTAAATCTGTATTATTCAATCACTATCATTTTATTTTGTGACTCAAAAGAGAACATCTAAAACATGACTATCAATGGTGTTTTGGTAACAAGAAGCACGCACACAAATGAATCCTTACAAACTTATCACCAATTTAAGATGTGTGTCTAACAGGTTCTAGAAGATCTATCCAGAATAGCAAGGTTATTTCCAATATAGTAAGTAAATAATACAGCTGCAGATCATTCTCATGACTTAAACCTAGACTGGTAAGTTTTTAATTAGAATGAAGAAAAACTAACTATCCGATCAGTAGACTTACGGGCACAATATAGTCTACGTTTTCCATATTGTTTCAGTTTTTTTCTGTCTGAAAGCTTTTACTTGGAGATATGATTTTTATAAAGTGCTCATGGAAAAGACATTGTTTGGATCTCCCCAAACAAGAATTTTTCACACTTCTCACTGACATATTTTACATTTTCAAAAATGCTAGGATTTTAAGAACTCTTGTCACATAACATGAAACTTCCTTGCTAAAAGAACTTGTGTGTTAGCTAGCCAAAACTTGCTAAGTTAAAATTCTCTTCTGTTGTCCTAGTTCTATCTACCATGGCTCTCCCTCCAGGCACCTGCTGAACTCAGACTCCCTGGCAGTCTAATAGTAGCCAGCACCTCAGTTTTATGATGTCACATTCCCGAGCAGGAGAAACCCAACCAGTTCTTCAAGGTTCTGAGCAAACAGTCTACCCTCCACTTCTCTACTCCAGCTCTCTTTTAAGTAGGACTGACTTGGCACTTCTGTGTTCCTGCAACACATCTACAACTCAGATGGCGCCTTGCTTAGCTCCATTTGGCACACAACAACACAAAAGATGAGACTGCATCTTGGATAGAGAATGTCACCAGGACAGACAGTGTCACCAAACTATTCCCCTTGACATAACCTCAGGCATAGAGAAGGCCATTTCCAATTACCACGTGTTCAGTTAAACATCACATACATTTGGAAATCATTTGGTGTGATAAGATGCAAAGTTATAACAAAATGTAAGGTCAAGCCAGAGTTAAGCCTTCTCTGAAGACAGGCAGAAGGGTCTTTGCTTCCTCCAGAATTCAAAACTCAGTAATTCCTTAGTAGGTGATTTTTTAATAAAGACACACTTATTTAATATAAATGAAACTTTCTCACTTTCCTTACCTGTTCAAGAAATGACTAACAATACTTGGCTATCTATTTAGAATTTAGGGCTCTGAATTCAGACAAGTTGAAAGATCTACACATGATCATAGAGCAGATCACCAGGGTCAAACCAAGATTTCATTCAGTATTCTATCCACCTCCACCTAACACGAAGAACCTGTGCATCAGTAACTTTAAAAAGCATCTGGTAGAGTTTGAATTAATGAAGAGACTTAAAATATTCTTAGTTGTGGAGGTTTATTACAAAATGCAAGTTTACAACTTGAGAGTAATCAGTAATCAGCTTTTAACCACGCAGATCACACTAACAGATTATTTCAAAACTGAACAGAGAACGCACATACTAACAACCAAAACTTCTCTTAGTAATGACCCGGCACCCATCCACAAGAACCACTATTTTCTTCTTCATTTCTTTCCAGAGTCCCAATAGACTAAACATCATAGCTCACCCTGTTTTCTAATTTCAGCTTGCATTTAAGATAACGCTTTTGTTTCATTTACAGCTCACATGCTGCTGACACAGCTGCCCCTTCTTTGTAATAAACACAGAGCTTCTATATTTAAAAATACAGTGAAACTTTGTTATAACATCCCCTCCCTAGTCTGTGGCCAATTTTTTTCTCTTCCAAGCCCCACCTCCACCCCATGATTTTCAATCAGCGGCACCAAAGACGTGTAGACCCTTTGGAAAGGCAATTTTCTTCTTTAAAGATGTCTCATCATAGTGGTATTTTTCTTTCTGTAGTGCGTGTGTGTTTCGGGGAAGTGGGGGAAATTCCCTACTCCAGAGGTCTTCCCAGGCAAAAGCACCAATGTCTGTGCCGAGAGTCGGGGGGTGCTGTCGTGACCAGCGACCCAAATGTCTAGCTGGGATGGCCTCGCTGATAGGCCTCAGAGCTAGGCTCGGCAGCCCGGGCATACTTGGGGGGACACGCAGCAGACCTGGCAGCTGGGAGTTAGGGAAAGTGCGCCCGCGAGCACCGGGCTCGCTAGACCGCCCATCGCCCCTGGGGAGGATGTTTTAGGTTGGGGGTTGGGGGGTGTCTCGTAAACACCCGGCGGAGAGATAAGGAGATCTGCTCGCGGGGTGCAGGCTCCGCGGCGCCAAGGACGGGTCGGGGGTTGGGGGGAGGAAACTGGCCGCGCGTCACTTGGGACAAATCAGAAGGGGGCGACAGAGTAGGGTGTGGGCCCGAGGGGGTCGCCGGGAAGAGATAAAGCGTAGCTGGAGTTAATCATCATCTCCAGAGCGTCTGGAAAAGGACGGCGCGGGGCCGCAGGGGCAGGATAGCAGCCCAGAGAAAAGTGAAACTCCTTCCTGGCCTCTCAGTGCGGTACCTCAAGCGCACTCGCTCCTCAGCCGCCCGAATCAGCACTCGTGGCTCCCAAACCCGCAGCCTAAGTCACGGTGCCACTAACAGCTACAGTCACCTCATTTTCTTATAAATTCATCCGAAGGGGGTAAAAAATGAGTCAGAGCCACGAGAAATAAAGTAAATGCTGTCTCTATATCGATTACAAAAATTAAAATTAAAAGACTCGTCGTTCCCATACCGGGAGTCGAACCCGGGCCGCCTGGGTGAAAACCAGGAATCCTAACCGCTAGACCATATGGGAAGAGCTGGTAGGAGAAGTGCGGAGACTCACCTGACAAGTGCAAGCACAGCTGCTGTCTCGGTTCCACCGCCACTCCAGTCTGTGCGCCACTCCAGCCGCTGCCGCTGCTGCCCACGCGCTCCGGAGCGAGGGAACGAGCCCGGCCCGAGCGCGCGGGCGTCGTGGAAGCGGGGCGGGGCTGCTAAGCAGCCTCAGGAAAGTTCTGAAGCGAAACCCAGTAACTCCAGACCCGAAAACAGCTATTTCACCTTTCTTTTTTTTTAAACTCCGCCAACGGCCCCCAGCCTTCTAGTCCGGGTTGTTCCGCTGGTCAAAGTGCGTGCGGACTAGTTGGCAAAGTTGAGGGCGGCGACGTCTCTGGGAACAGCTGTTTGCGTTCGGGACGGAGGCGGCGCGAGAGCTCCTTGGCCACGAGCCAGCGAGCCTAGAAGGATGGTGGAGGGTCTGGATCCCAGGGAAAGAAAGCGATAGAACGCGGGATGACGCGGGGACCTAAGGCTTGAGGTTCCAGCCGTTCAGCTCGAGTCCCGTCGCGCTTTCGCCCCTTCTCGGTGACCTCAACCCCTTTATACAGACCCCACCTCTCAGGCTCCCGAGTCCCGCCCCTCTAGGGGGGAGGGGAAGAGGAGGAGATTGCGAGCGCCGCTTGAGTCGTCCGGGCACCCGTAGTTGGGAACGGCGGAACGCTGGTCCGGGCGCGCGGGGCGGTGTCGGGGCGAGGAGGCTTGGGTGGGCCTGGGAACGGGCCGGGTCCGCCGCTCCCCGTCTGGAGAACGCTAGCCTGTGCCGGACCTCGGGGCGACTTGCGGAGCGACTGGCCCAGTCATGTGAGTCGGGTCTCAGGCTGGGAACAACGAGGTTTTGTGTCTTGGCGCGGCCCTTGTTCCGCGGGGGCTCTCCCACCGGCGCCCCCGCCTTGCGGCCGGGGGCGTGACGGAGGCGCTCTTAACTCGCTCGGAACCGGCTTCAGACCGGCGGGGCCGGTTCTCTGGGCGGGGAAGAAATGTTCCCCTCGAGCGCCCTGGGGGCCTGGGGCGCCCGCCCTCGCGCCGGAGCCTGGCGGCCTGCAGAGGTTGGACTGTTGCCCGCCCGGCGACGGAGCGCCCCTCCACCTCTGCAGTGGGGGTCGCTGGCACCCTTTTCGTTTTCGTAGCTCTGGAACCCTGGCGTATTGTGAAACTTTGGGGTTGGACAGCCGCCACCACTGTCTCCTCCGCCTATGAGAAGGGCCCAGCCCTGGAAAACGTAATGACGATTTTTTTTTTTTTTGTCTTGCGGGCTGAGAAGTCTCTTGACTTTTCCTCCCAACTCTCTCTTGCCCTGAGGCTCGAGAACATACTGTATTAACTGAGAGTCTCGAAGGAACCGCTGTCTCCCACCAGAGGAGTCTTGTGCTTTGTTCTTCTGCTGCGAATAACATGATTTAAAGCGAACTTTTTTATTTCTTCAGTCCTCCATTACAGCAATCTCCCACAATGTCAGGAATAGAAAGGAAAATATTCTCTAACATGTTACTTATTTCTTCACACTGATGCCCGTCATGAGAATTGTTTAAAGCTTTTTTTAAAAAAAAATTATTTTTAAAACCATTGGTTTGCATTCCAAAACCATTAGTGTTTTGGAAATGTAGGATTTCTTCCACTCCCCGGGAATAGTCATCTTAATACCCACCCAAGGACCCATCATCTTCCACTGCCAAAGCTCTTTTATTACAGGATGTTTTAAATCCAATGGGAAATTTCTCTACTCTTACAAGCAGCAAATTCCGTTGGCTGCTTCATTCAGACAATTAATAAATCAAGGCTGTTGTGTGTGTTCAACAAGACAAGATTCAGCAGTGCTTATATTTTACATTCTAAGAAAATGTAAAGCAAGCAGAATTTTACCTTTTTGAATAATAAATAAGCTTAGACTTGTTTTTCCCTTTTCCAGGGCAGACTACTGGAAGTCACAGCCAAAGAAATTTTGTGATTACTGCAAGTGCTGGATAGCAGACAACAGGCCTGTATGATAACTCCTCTACTAGATATGCTAATAATATTGTATCCTGTGAAATGTTTTTTTCTTATTTAAACTCAGTTTACAAGGCACTTTCATAAACATTGCACTTTATTTTTCCCCCCACAATATCTAGAGATGTCTGTTGTCTTTTCACTCCTTGTTAGAAGTCTGTAGTCTTCTTTTACATTTTGTCTAAATTTGATTATGCCAAATTATTTCTCTGTGATCCCTTAGTAATGATCAAAAAGGGACATTGAGTTAGTAATATGATTTATATTTATGTACCGTCTATATTATGGTGATAGTATTTCTAATACTGTCATATACCCAAAAAAATAAAATTAGATGACCTGTAACAACAACAACAAAATTATTGTGGTTTTCTTTGTATAGTTTCTGCTCAGAGGTAAATATATTTGAGCAAAAGCTTCCTATCTCTGAGCACTTCAATTTGAAATAACAACATTACTTGTGTTTATAAAATGGCAGTTCTACTAAGAACATTCTTACTGTATTTTTTGGTCTAGATTCAGTTTGTAAGACATAAAACAAAAACGGTATTGTTGACTTTCCACAACTCAGGTATGTCATAGTACATAATATGCATCTTTTAAGTGTCATACATTCTTTTTACTTGATTGGGTTGGATGTACAAAATCACATCTTAAGTAATGTATTTCATTGATAGACATTTAGTTACTATTGTCTTTAAGGAGTTTGGGGTTATTTTTCTTTTGGATATTGTTTTGTTTTTCAGTTCTATTTTGTTTCACTTAGGCCATTCTTACAAATAATGGACACAAATTTTAAAACCTACACAAATTATTGCTTGTCTCTCCCCCTAGTTACCTAGACTAAATAAGTCCTTCTAAGATCGTAATCTTCTTGAATTACTAATATATATTGCTTTAATCATTAACTAGAGACAAGTAATTTTTTATATATTTCATATTCTTTGGTGTAATCAACGTTTGGAAATCCAGTGTGTAAGAGAAGAGGATGACAATTATATAGCGTCGCACACTGCAAAGAGGAAGAAGCCACAGTAGCTCAGCTAATACATCAGATAAGATTTGATTGACAAAACTCATTTTGCACAATTTACCAGAAGTTTCTCATTGCATACAACTAGACATTCAGATTTTAGGAAGCATTTCTAGCTGGCTTTTATAAATAGGTAGTAACATTCACTCACCCACCTTTTCCATCTAGTTCAGATCATACATATCTTTGGTTACCACGGTTTCATTTTCTTGGCTATCCTTCCACTGTTTCTCTATAGATTTTTATTCAGGTATATTTATAAGGTACCATACAATAACATTGTCCTACACCGTAGTTTTAAAAAAGTGAACACTTATCCTGGAGCTCTCCATATCAGCATATAGGAAAATTCTGTGTGTTTTATTACAGCTGCCTGCAGGAAAGTATTATTTGTTTAACCTCTCCCTTATAGAGGGATATTTGGAATGTTTTCACATATACAGTTACAGTGTACACCTGTACATAATACTGTTTTGTACATGTGCAGAATATCTGGAAAATAAATTCCCAGAAAATGGGATCACTGAGTCAGAGTAAATAAATGTAGCTGTAATTTTGCTAATAATGTCAAATTGTCCTCCATAGAAGTTTTATGTTTTGTATCAGTACCACACTGTATAGAAATAGTTGTTTATAATTAAGGAGGAATTTGGAAGTAATAAGATACTAGTATCATTGTTTATTATCTCATACTAAAATGGCAGGTAGAATAGTACAAATTCTAGAGCTTACTTACTGGTTTTGACATTTCATGTTGAGAGTTATTTCTTAAAGTTAAGGTTTGTTTTTTTTTTCTACTTCTCGGGCTCATTTGAGTTCTCATTATAATCGTATTCACTAGATTAGTCATCAAGGGTACCTTGTATATATTTCTCCATTAGTATGGCCATCATAATCTATTTTAAGCACCAAAGGGGAAACCTAGTCAGAGGGCATAATAATAAATAATGCAGTTCAGTTTCTTAGTGTCATTTGATAAAAAGAGACAATTTGCTTAGAATTTTCTTTTCCACACAATCATTCTAATTTCAATTTTGTTGTATTACATTTTCATATATACTCTACTACTATACTGTGACGTCATGTTGCTGCTTTGTATTTTGTTTTTTCATTTTCAAGAGTGTTGAATTTCATGAAAGAGGGAAGAATCATAAGGAAAATGTTGCAAAGAGGATCAGTGAGGTAATTTATGTTTCTTTCTTTCTTTGCCAGTTTTTCTGTGTAAATGTTAGTCCTTTATCTAGCTTTCATTCTCTTATACATGTCTTATACAGATTAAACAGAAAAGCTTGGATAAGGCGAAGGAAGAAGAAAAAGCATCAAAGGAGTTTGCAGCAATGGAGGCAGCTGCCCTAAAAGCATATCAAGAGGATTTGAAAAGGCTTGGCATAAAGTCAGGTAAAAAAAAAAAAAAAAAAGACAGTTTTTAAAGTAACATCAGAGGTTATGCTAAATGAGCTTTTATTGTTTCCATAAAGAGATAATATATTTTTAGTGCTTTTCATATGCATTGTAACTCGGTTTAGTTTGTGGGACTTTGCTCATGTACTTTTGTTTTGCTTTTAAAGCTTCATTTTTTATCAAGGACACTGTGCTGATGGTTACCTGGTCCTAGTTCTGTCTTAAGTCAGTGATTCAAAAATACTTAAATACTTTAGACAAGAAGGAACTAGTCATTAAGAAATAGTCTTGAGGGGCCCTCCCTGGTGGTTCAGCAGGTTGGAGCACTGCACTGTAAAACAGCCAACCCATGGCTTCTTCAGTGCAAGTTCAATCCCTGCCAGGGAGCTGACCCACTTGGTACATCAGACCTCTCCTGTCTTGCCTGCTGCTCCCCTCCTCAGTGTATTTCGGTCACTCCGCCTGTTCTCTTCCTTGCCCATACCCCTAGTCTACACCCCAGTTCAGAGTTACATATTTTGTGCCATGTTGTGTTTTCTTTCCTCAATGATAATATGTCAAGCACATCTTTTAAATAATGTATTCATCACTTGTAGTGGCTATAAAGTGGTTAGAAGCACATGCTTTGAAGTCAACCAGAATTACCTCTTACTAGTTATATGACCTTCAATTTTTACTAAAATTGAGTAAAATAATGGAATAAATTATTTACTACAGAGACCAATTTTACAAATGCTGTAACTTGTTTAAAGTCTTCCTGATTAAATTTTAGGTTGTTTAGAATTTTTTACTGTTCAGAAGACTTTGAGTGAGCATCCTTATGCATGCATGTTTGCACACTTATCTCTGTAGGTTCAATTTTCAGAAGTGAAATTGCAGAATCAAAGTGTGAAAATATTTTACATACTGATACAGAGTACCTAGTTGTCTCCAGAAGTGTTGAGCTAGTTTATATTTTAGCTGGAAATAAATTCATGTATTAACTGGTCTTGGGAATAACTTGTCAGTCCTTTGGGGAAAAGCAAAGCCATAGTACCCATTTTTCACACCTGTAAATACCTGATGGGTGAGACTAACTCTGAATTTGATCATTGTTTTCAGTACTTACTGATCAAATGCTATCTGTGTGTATGTGCACATGAAATACATTTCTTTGAAGATTAGTGAAGGTAAATGTTAATTCCTAAATTACCTTTATATTCTTTGCCTATTTTTCTGTTAGAAATATCCCTTGGGTGTAAAAGGGATATTTTTTGTGATCATTAATCCTGTTGTATTTATATGTAATTTGTCTTACAAATTTTTTATTTTCATTTTTGTCATACCAGACATTTCAGTTTTATATAGTGAACTTAAATATTCTACTTTGCATCCTTTGTGTAAATATACTTGATCTGGATTGTATACCATTAAAAAAAAAACTCTGGGAGTGGGGAATAGCTCTACTTTATTTCAATTAATTAACCTTAATCTAACATCCTTTATTAAACTATATTTTATCTTCTAATAAAAAGTACCAGGACTCTGCACTTGGCTTCATTTCTGTGCTATTCTGTTTTAGTAACCTGTTGACTTACTCTTGAATCAGTTTTACACTGCTGGCTTTCTCTAACCATAGTTTGAGAATAAATTTTAATACCTCATAGCTATTATCCTTTTTTATAAGTCTTCTGGATAGTCATGCATGCTTAGTAGTTCAGGTGAACTTTATATTAATCAAGTTCTCAAAATATCTTGCAAACTTGATTGAAATAGCAGTAATGTTCTGTGCCATCAAAAAAAAAAAATTAACTGGCTAATTCACACTCATCTTTTCTCTAGAAATTCCAGAGCCAAGCATCTCACCAGCAACTAGCACTGACCCACCAACCTCTACATCAAAGCAGCCAAAAGAAAAGAAAAAAAAGAAAAAAGACTCTTCAAAGAACAGATGGATAGAAGGCAAGACTGCTGAGGGTTACCATTACTATTATGATCTTATCACCGGAGGTAAGTCTTCTAGGCTTAGAACTAGTACAGACCAGTAACAAAACAGCTTGTTTTGTGTTAGGACTTTTAGTTAATACTGCAATATTCCAACAATGAGGAACTATTTTTTGGCACGATGACAAGGAAATATGTATCTTTTAATTAAAATAAAATGCATATTTAAAAAATATGCACCTTCTCATGATGATTCAGTGTTAGTCAAATATCTTAATGGGCTCTTGACCATAAACTAGTTTTATGTTTTCTCAATAAAGCCATCTAAAGTATGAGCTACATAAAAATAAGGCATTTCAAATCCACTTTACAAAACCATAGGAGTTCTTGAAATAAAATATTCCATGGAAGAGATTTTCTATCAAAAGCAGACAAGGAACCAAAAACTGATCTCTTTTGTTTCGTTGTTTTGGTTGACCTAGCAGAGTAGCCCCTTTCTTCCCCATTAATGTTTTGACTTTTAGTTTCTAATAAAATACACAATGGAGTTTTTCAATAAGAATATACAAACATCTTTTTGTTTTCTTTAAAACTTATCATTTGGGATTTTTCACTTCATATAAATTCTGAGATAAATACATTTCACATTCATATAACATCTTACTCTCCAGAAAAAAAAATTAGTGTCAGAAATAAACAACTATGACATGAGGAAATTTTTAAAGTGCCATAGTATGAGGTTAGTTAGTATTATATGGGAGCTCAAAATGGTAAGGAATAACTTTTTTTATGTAGCTCTGAGAGATTTTTTTTTTTAAGATTTATTTATTTATATAGAACCGGGGTACAGGCCAGAGATGTGGAGGGTGAGAGGATTCACCAGAGACAGAGCGGGGAGCAGAACAGGCAGATCAACGAAGTACACTGCTGAGGGGAGCAGCGGGTGGGTCAGGAGAGGTCTGCCGCGCCATGTGGATCTCCTCCGCCATGTGGATCTCCTCCGGGGCAGGCGGGGATCGAACTCATGCAGTAGTGGCTTAAGTTTCTTAGTGCAGTGCTTTAACCCACTGCGCCACCGGGGAGGGCCACTCTGAGAGATTCTTACAGAAATTATTTTTGAGCTAAATGTAGAAGTTAAAATGAGGGCATCAGGAGTGATATCATCTTGCTTGCTATTTGTATGCCTAGCAACTAAAACTGTTACTAGCATGGTAGAGACACTCCAGAGTTACTGTGATTGAAAAAATTTTGGTAAGGTGTTACAGGTATATAAATATTCCTGACAGACAGAATAGGAATCTAAAAAGAATTTGAAATTTTGAAAATCACATGGTGGAGGTAACATGTGAGGTTCTTTTGACAATGTTATGTCAGGAAAAGAAGACCAGAATATTAGACTAAAGCTTTATCATGGAGGAGTAGGCTATCAAATATCCTCAGACTGGGATATAAAATACAGGGGGGAAAAATAAATTTAAGTGGGATGCTAATGAATTCAATTTTGGATATGTTGAGATTGAGATACCTATAGAACATTCATGAGGCAATTTTTAATAGCTAGCTGAAGATTAGCATCTGAGCATAGGGATGTAAATTGAATCTAGGAATACGACAATATTTTAAATTTCAGGAATATATGAGATCGCAGGAAGAAAAAAGAAAACTAAAAGGATAGGTAAAAAAAATATGGTAGGTAGTACATATATGAAAGGAATGGATAGAATAAAAACCAGGAAAAAAGTTATGGTCACAACAGTAGAAAATAAGATCCAAATTAATTATGTATATTTACAAGTATTATGATATAATTACGGTTTTTAGAGTCAGAATTTTAAACTACAGAGAAATAGTAATAATCTTTTAGCCATTGCACTGAACCTTAAGTAAAATGTATTGTTTCAGTAGTTCCACAGTAAACCATAAGTTTTACTGTTATTTGCTCGGGATTATAAGTCTCAAAATTTATAAAGAAATTTTGTTAGTTATGTCTTTTCCCCCTTCTAATGCCTATTGCTTGGATCTTTTATTCACCATTCTACTTTATATACTCTTGCTCTCAGCAATTCTTGTTTGTAATTCCTGCATACTTACTCCTCTTCTGAGTTATTCATTCCACCTGTCTTTGCTCCAAGCTGTCACAAGGCCATCTCATTCCTTCAAAATTTAATAGCCTCAATTTCATGAACCCTACCTGCTTCTGATAATTCCTTTGCAATTTGGTGACTTCAGATCCTTCATTTCCCATCTCCTCCACCCCCAGCCTTTTCTTTTTTTGGTTACATTGCATTTGCTTCTCCTTATTCAGTTTTGGTTTTGACAACCTTTTTATAAATCTGTAGCTTTTTGTACACGTGGATTACCTTGTAATTTTTGCTAAACTAAAAATTTTGAAAAGTTTTGATCTTTTTTAAAGCAAAAAGATTTTATAAATGTAATGTATGTTTTACTTTAAGCATCTCAATGGGAGAAACCTGAAGGACTTAAAGGAAACTTAAAAAAGGTAACTGAAGCACATTAATAGTGGATTTGCTTTATTCTTTCTTGGCTTCTAGTGTTTTTTATGGAGTGTTATGAAGCAAATTTACTTCCAAATAAGTTCCCCCATATACATACTTTGTTATTTTTTTAACCTGTAATTCTTTTGTTTGAAGGCTGGGTGTAGTTGAAAAAAATGATGTACCTAAAAACTCCTTGCAGCGCAAATATTATTAATTGGTTTGCAGTCAGTTGCATTCATATATATAGAGAATTGTTAACTGACTTTCAAAGATGAAAGTTGGTCTCCCTAAAAGTTGGTGTATGATTAACCTAAGCCAGCCTTTCTGTCCATAATCAGTAATGCCACCTTTATTCTCAGATATCAAGGAGAGAAGGTGACTGACTTTGCCTTAGTTAATCTAATGTGGAACCATGCTGTATTATGCCTCCATTCATGCTGGTTTTTTCCTCTCATTAGACAACAGTGAAGGCTGTTTGGGTAGAAGGTTTAAGCAAAGATGGTCACACCTATTATTATAATACGGAAACAGGAGGTAAGTATTACCTTTAATGACTTTAACTATCTAAAATTGTACCTTAGACATCTTATTGGCCTGCTGATAAGACATCTTTACTTGGAAATTTTATATAGTGGTAAATTTATTTCTTTAACAAAGTTATATTTTTTTTGTAAATTTAAAAAATATTAATACAATGCAAAAGCAAAAAGCTTTCCATGTATAATGTGTAATGTACTATGTTAATGTCAAACACTATTTACTTTTTTAAAAAACAATGTTTTTACTTTTTTGGCCATTTTTTAAAATCATGGTTACTGGAAATATAATTACCTTGGAAGATACCTTATAGATCATTAATGTCAACTTGCCTTTTCCTTTTATTAAGAAATAACTATTTTAGTAGTAACAGATTGTCAGGTTTTCACTTTCACTTGTTTAATGCTGTATCATTGTTTAAATATTTCTAAAACATGTATAATTATGACCTTGTTATATACATTTTTCAAATTATCTAATTTAATTTCATAAAGTTGGCCTTTATGTAATTTTACTTGGTTTCTACTACTGTTAAAATTATCAGAATAGCTGTAGCTGTAGTATTGATGTAACTTTGGAGGGCTTTTTTCTTTTTCTTTTTTTTTTTTTTTTACTGCTATGCTCTCTATATATACTTTACCTCGAAGCAGAGTATATTTTTTTAAGAAGAAAGGGCTTCTTTACTCTCCAGCTAAATATCTCACCTGCCCAATGATAGCAGTGGCTTTTATCTCAGTAAATTTGAGGTACTGACTCTTAATAGAGATAAAAATGTAATGATACAGCATAATTCTAGCGTTCGATTTGTACTCAGTGCAGTTTCTTCCCTTACGCAGCTGTGTTTTGGACAAGTCACTGTGTTAATAGTTGATCAGATATACTCTGTGAAGTCAGAGAGTTCAGATCTACAGTATCCCCAGAACAGTGCCTGGTATATAACAGGTGCTTAGTAAATAATTTCCAAAAAGTTTTTGGGTTACTTGTGAAATACATATCAGGAAAAGTTTTTCATTAGTTCAGTAAAGGATCCTATATTCATTAGAGACTATACATATGATTTGCCCTCAACATGTTCAGTTTCTATCTGAACCATTGTAATTTTTAATAGGTTATCTTAAAACTTTGCCAACTGAACATAAGTTTTAGAATTTCTTTGCCTTTTATTAAACAAAAAATAGAGATTAACTGGAAGAATTAATTAGAAGTGCCTAAAGGCACCCACTAAGCCACTGGATGGCAGTAGAGTTCAAACAAGATTTTTTCCTTTCTATGTAAAAAAATAACAAATTAATTTAGATTTTCAGAGTACCATTTTAGTTTGTGGAGATCTCAGAAATCTACTGTGTGTTCATTATTACATGTTGCCTGAAAATGGTGTCAAGTAAATGGTGAGAATCCTTTGAAAGGGTTGCCTAGTTCTTAGATCTCTTTTGAGAAGGGACTATTATTTTTTTATGTAGTAAATCCAGATTTTCGGAAGTTCATTTCTGAAAGAGTCAAAAGAAAGGGGTTTGGAAATTCTTATTTATTACCTCTGTGCAATGAAATAATGATGTGAAACAGATGTAAGTAGCAGGAAGCATTATATTGGGAATTTCCTCTAAATAGAATGGCTAACTGAATAACATGACTACTAAAATGTGTTGAATAGAATCCAAATGGGAAAAACCTGATGATTTTATTCCACACCCTGGCGATCGGCTTTCTAATAAGGTTATTAACAAAAAGATAGTTGGCACCCAAGAAGAGTCCAAATCCTCAGATTCACATAGTGATTCTGACAAGGAACGACAACCAGAAAAAGAACTCCCTACAAAAACACAAAAGCTAAAAATAGTGTTTAAGGTAGGTTCTTGAGTCTTTTTTACTTTCAATAATTTATCAGTTTATAAAAGTTCTGCAGATTTTTTAAGTTTTCTAGTAGAAGATTGAATTAAAGCCAAGATACGTGTTTTATCAGTTGGATAATTAGTTGTATCATTTCTTGGTATCATTTTGGTGGCAATACAGTAAGTTGTTTATCTTTAGACTTCCTAAATTTGAGCTGCCCCTATAACATTTAGAGAACTGTCTGAACAAGTAAGTCTGAATGGTTAATCTAAAAAAGCTAACTTGAGTATCATCAGCATACTGGTAGTTATTTAAATCTCAGGATCGGCAGTTACCTAGGAAAATGACATTGGGGAACATTTTGATAGTAAGCAGAGAAAAAAATAACCTGCAAGAAAAAATAGAATGAGGAAGGAATGATTAGAAAGGAATGCAAAAGGCCCTGCCTGGTGGTATAGGGGGGTTAAGGCACAGCACTGTGACGCTATCGCAGCCACTGCAGCAGGAGTTTGATTCCAGGTTGAGGTGGTGGGTCACATGCGTGACTCACATGGCAGACCTCTCCTCACCCGCTGCTGCTCCCCTCAGTAGTGTATTTCAGTCGTTCTGCCTTAACTGTTCCCCACTCTGTCTCTGGTGAATATCACCCCTTGCACCTCTGTCCTGTACCCCCAATTCTGTACGCATACATAAATAAATCTTTAAAAAGAAAGGAATGCAAAAAAAATTTAATATCCCGAAAAAATAAAGGAAGTAGGATCATCAAAGATTAATTATAGAAAAAGAAATGTACATTGAATTTTGCAGTGAAGATGTCCTTCATTCTTTTCTAATGGTTTGACCAGAGTTATGATTACAGGGGTATGAAAAGTGGTTCCTGGGGTATATGTTATTTAGATATGAAGTGAAAAGCAGAAGTTAATTGATAAGATGATGGGTACCTACTGATTCTTATTAATTATTAGATCAGTAATGGTGATGATAGTATTTTCATTGAGGGGAACTCAAAAGGAGGTAAATAAGGGTGCTGATAATGGTAGATTGGTTTTGAATAAGAAAGAGTACAGGTTTCTGTTTTCCATAAAAAGATATGAGCAGGCAGGCTTTCCTGATGGCACAAAGGATTAAGTCTCAGCACTATAAAGCTATTGGCAGCTACTACAGCTAGAGTTTAATCCCCAGCCAGAAAAATGAGTCACATGTACAGCAGACCTCTTTGTACCCACTGCTCCCCTCAGCAGAGTCAGTTCACCTGTTCTGATCCCCACTCTGTCTCTGGTGAATCCTCTCACCCCCTTCTCCCCACAACTCTGGCCTGCATCCCAGCTCTTGTATGTATAAATAAATAAATCTTTTTTTTTTTTTTTTTTAAGATTTACTTATGCATACAGAACAGGCCAGAGGCACAGGTGCAATGAGAGGATTCACCAGAGGCAGAGTGGGGAGCAGAACAAGCGGAAAGATGAAGTACACTCCTTAGTGAAGCAGCAGGCGGGTCAGGAGAGGTCTGCCATGCCATGTGGGTCACCTCTGGGGCGGGAATCAGACTCATGCTGAAATGGCTTTAAGCTTTTTAGTGCTGTGCTTTAACCCACTGTGCCACTAGGGAGGGCCATAAATAAATCTTTAAAAAGAAAAAATGATCCAAACATGAATGTGTCAGTATTAGAGAAGATATTTTATCCTCAGCTTATTCATTCCTAAAGAAATCAAGATTGCTGCGCTTGGGGAGCTCTGGGGGCCTTGACAACATTAATAGATTAAAATAATTATTACTGAGGTCCTCTCTGGTGGTGCAACAGGTTTGCTCAGTACTGCAAGCTAGCCATTTCAGTGCAAGTTAAATCCCTGCCCTGGAGGTGATCCACATGGTGTGGCAGACCTCTCCTTACCTACCCGCTGCTCCCCTCAGCAGTGTACTTTGTCGCTCTGCCTGTTCTGCTCCCCACTCTGCCTCTGGTGAGTCCTCTCACCACCCCTGCACCTCTGGCCTGCACCCCAATTCTGTATGCATAAGTAAATGAATCTTTTCTAAAAAATTAATTAGTACTAAACAGGAATGGGAGAGGAAATGGACCAAGGAAGAGGATTGAAGGGTAGTATTAACTGTCTGGCCATAGCAGGAAAATAAAAAGACAGTTTTAGGGCCCTCCCTGGTGGCGCAGCGGGTTAAAGCACTGCACTGAGAATCTAAAGCCGCTTCCGCATGAGTTCGATTCCCGCCTGCCCCGGAGGTGACCACATGGCGTGGCAGACCTCTCCTGACCCGCCCACTGCTCCCCTCAGCAGTGTACTTCGTCCATCTGCCTGTTCTGCTCCCCACTCTGTCTCTGGTGAAGCCTCTCACCGCCCCTGAGCCTCTGGCCTGTACCCCAGTTCTGTATGCACAAATAAATAAATCTTTAAAAAAAAAAAGACAGTTTTATACTGTTGTTAATCTTTCTGCTTTTGTGACCTTTCAGAGAACACTTAAAAAGCAGAGAATAACACTGACTCATGATTGAGATTACTGGCTTGTGAGGTGAAGGACAGTCAAGGATGCTGAAGATAGGGTATTTTCATGTCATACTTGAGATGATATTGTTGCCTGAAATTTCTCTACCTATGACATAAACTTGGTGGATCTTAGGACATGGGATGTGTGCAGTTTATAGGGAAACAACAATGAAATCCTTACTATGGTAGCCACCTCACAAAGTTTATAGTACTCAGCTTCCAATCTGGGACAGGTGTTAACTTCAAGCAAACAAATAATTTCAAAACTCAGAAGAAAAACAAATGCAAGCTATTATAATCTTGCCAATTCCCCCAAAACCACTAAATCTTTGGTGCTTATTGGCTTCTCGTTTTTTTCTATTCAAACACATGTACATTTTTTTTTAAAGATTCTTTTATGCATGCAAGAACTGGGGTGCAGGCGAGAGGTGTGGGGGGTGAGACGATTCACCAGAGACAGGATGAGGAGCAGAACAGGTGGATTGACCAAAATACATTGCTGAGGGGAGTAGCAGGCGAGACTGAGGGAGAGAGTGGGCTGCAGATAGCTTTAACCCATTGTACCACCAGGGAGAGCCCTTATGTGTGTTTTAAAATAAAGTATCCTTGGCTGTGGTATATGGTCTGTTAAATTTTATTTCTTCACTTTTGACATTTCAGGAAAAAAAAAAGAATAATGATAAAAGAACTGTATCTTTACCGCTAAAGAATAAAGAAATACAGAAAGAAAAAAAAATCCAAGAACAGAGTTCATCAGGGCCAAAAGAAGAAAAGCCCAAGGTTCGTAAAAAACCAACTCCATATGGAGAATGGCAAGAAATTAAACAAGAAGTTGAATCTCAGTAAGTACTTAAAAACTTAATCCCACTATTATTACAAGTATTTTTACATTTCACTACTTCCATAAAGTACAGTAATTAATTTCTGGGAAAGGTATTTATTAAAAGCTCTTTTTTTTCTATATTAATTTTATTTTTTTAATTATTTCTAAATGTAAATAAATGATTATTTTTAAAGCAAGCAAATAATTGTTTTAATTCCTACTGAGACATGACAATCTTGTTAACCACAGTATGTATGTATAACACACAGTATGTACACATGATTATTGCCAAAGTCACTGTCAGCAAATTATGAGTGAAACAAGCATCTGAATCTTCAATAAAAGTCTCATAGAACAGGGCCCTGCCTAGTGGCACAACAAGTTAAAGCACAGCACTATGAGGTTATCACAGCCACTGCAGCATGAGTTCAATCCCCGGGGGGTGACCCACATGACATGGCAGACCTCTCCTGACCCGGCCACTGCTCCCCTCAGCAGTGTACTTCCTATATTTTCCTGTTCATTCCTGCTCCCTACTCTGTCTCTGGTGAATTCTCTCACCGCCACTGCACCTCTTACCTGTACCACAGTTCTGTATGCATAAATAACTTTTTTTAAAAAAAAACTACTTTAATGAAAAGGTCATACTTCTTCACATGGTATCATGCAAGTTTTGCACAGCTTGATATACTGTTCTCATTAGAATTGTTTACCAAGAGATAACATACTGTATATTGAACTGTTATTAAAATGTTACTCATATTATAAAATTTTGGGGATTTGTTACCTAATAAAATATTAGGAAATAGGTATTCAATACTACTTAGTGCCAGACACTAAGTATTGATTATACCACTTGATTATAATAACTGAAGTTGAAGAAATAAAGGATTTTCTTTAGTTGAGCCTGTAATTTTTTAAGTGAATAACAATAGGAAATGGTCTTACTATATCTTTTGCTCTTCAGAGTTGAGATTTCTTAGAACTGCCTTTGAATATTATACCATAAAGGCATTCTAACTGAATTTTAACATAATCTAGCTTAATATGAGATTGATTTTATCTGACGTGCTGGGTATATTAGTCTAATTTCTTTAGGGATCTTCTCCTTAAAAACAGCCAGTATATCTTTATATAGAAATTTTTTTTTAATGAAGGAAGATGTAAGAATAACTAACCTCCATAGAAAGCATCATTGTTGGCAGTTTAAGAGAAAAGTAGGAAAAACAAATAAAAATGGCATTTAACTTTTTTTAATACAATAAGGAAAAATTTGTGAAGTCATCTATTTTTAAAACAAATCAGAATTAATGCCTGTTCCAGTTCATTTTTTTCAAAAAGTTCTTCAAATTTTAAAGAATTGTTCCAGTTCATTTTTTCAAAAAGTTCTTCAAATTTTAAAGAATTTTGATCAATTTTCCTCGGGTTTTATATTATGCAGAATTTTTGTCTTCAGTTTTGCATTAACTCTGCTGACTTGAAATTTTATCAGTGTACTTATTACATGGATTTTCCTTTATTTGGATTTTAAATCCTAGCAAATTTCCAAACTATTCTCACATTTTCAAAATTATTACAGTGCCTAGAGACCTGCTATTCTAAACATTTTTGTTCATGCTTACATAGAAAAGAACATAAAAATATCTCTCAGTGCTGTTGCCTACACTTTTCTATATAGTCTGTAAGAAGAAAATAAGTTACCATGTACTTCTATTATTTGAGCTACCCACTGCATATTTAGTGGACAAGAACTGAACTGAACTCAGAACTCATGAACAAAGAAAGGAGAAGGGTTGATTTCCAAAAGGAGGGAAAATGTATTTTAGTTAATAGAAGAGAATATTTCTTTTAATTATATACACACAGGGTCTACAGACACATAGGGTAGCTATTATTGTTGTAATAGCTACTAGTCTAAGTCTACCATGGCCTTTCAAATTTTTCCTCCTCTCTAGGAAAGATAGTTCTTTTTCCCAGAATCAAGCTGAGTGACTGCATTCCCTGGTTCTTCTGAGATTGAGGAGGATAGATTTCCAATATTCACACTTTTCAAATGGAATTTATGAATTTGACATCTGAGACTTCTAACATTTAAAGTATTCCTTTTATTCCCTTTCTCTCCTTTAATCCTTTCTTTTATGCTGACCAGGTAACCTTTGGCTTTCAAGTGATAGAAATTTGAGTTACCTGGGCCCTTCCTGGGCTCAGCAGGTTGAAGCTCAGCACTGTAGAGCTGGCTGCAGCTGCTTCAGCATGAGTTCAATCCCTGGCCAGGGAGGAGACCCACATGGTGTGGCAGACTTCTCCTGTCTCTCACTGCTCCTCAGCAGTATGCATCATCACTGCCTGCTCTGCTCCCCACTCTGTCTCTCTCATCACCCCTGCACCTCTTGCCTGTACCCCAGTTCTATATGCATAAATAAATCTTAAAAAAAAAGAAAGAAATTTGAGTTACCTTAAATGAAAAAGATTAGTTGAAAGGTTTCCATGAAGTTCTATCTACCAAGCTATGAAGACAGCAAGAATTGTTCTGGACCTTAAGAATTATAGAATCAAGCCTAAAACATTGACAGGATTCATCTCCCATTTGTACTATTCTCTACAAGCCAGCTTCTTTTTTCTCCTGATGAACTCC